GTGAACTTTCGTTACATAGCTGTCGGCAACGAGCGTATCCCCGGCGCTCATCCGGAGATCGTACTCCCTGCAATGAAGAATATACAAAACGCCTTGCAGGCTGCCGAACTGCAAGGCAGGATAAAGGTCTCAACTTCAGTATCCACCGGCGTCTTCGGCACGTCCTACCCTCCCTCCGCCGGCGTTTTCTCCTCCGACGTCCACGACACTCTGCAACCCATCGTCTCCTTCCTCGCCAGCAACGGTGCCCCCCTCCTCGCTAATGTTTATCCTTACTTCAGTTACCTCGGAAACCCCAACATCAACCTCAACTACGCACTCTTCACTTCGCCGGGGACGGTGGTCACCGACGGGCCGTTGCAGTATCAGAATCTGTTTGATGCGATGGTGGACGCATTTTTCTCGGCGCTGGAGAAGATGGGCGGTGGCAATGTCAAACTGGTGGTGTCGGAGACCGGCTGGCCGTCGGATGGTGGCGGTGTGGCCACACAACAGAACGCGCAGACTTATCTCTCAAATCTGATAAACCATGTGAATCAAGGGACGCCCAAGAAGCCGGGAGTGAACATTGAGACCTACATTTTCGCCATTTTTGATGAGAACATGAAGCAGCCAGGGGGAACAGAGAACCATTATGGGCTGTTTAACGCCAACAAGAGCCCAAAATATTCTCTCCACTTCTGATTACGCAGAAGCAGAAGGGTGGTGCGGCCATTTGCCTGCCTGAATAAATTTGCTGTCAAGAAGAAAAGCTTGTTGTATCTTGTATGAGAGAAAAATAAAAGGAAAACATAATAAAGGTTTAATTATTTTCTAAACAATATTAATTAATGTTTAATTAAAAAAATTATAAACAATATGTTAATTAATGCCAAGAAGAGAGAACCTCACTGCCTAAATACTGAAGCAAAACAGAATATTCAATTCTTCACATATATTAACAAATAATATAGGCAGGATGACTTCCATTATATTATATAATAATAGGTCGATAGCTGTGTATAGGGGTGTCACTTTGGGTCAACGGGTCGGGTTCGGGTTGAACCCTGAACTAATTCGGAACTATTCGGGTCAACCCGAACCCGATCCGTTTTTAAAAACAGGTCAAATTCTCGGACCCGAACTCGACCCGATTCAGGTCCGGGTCAACCCAACCCAACATGAATGACCCGGGATTGACTCAAAATTGCTAGTTTTTGGGTAAAAATTGGGTCAATCTTCAATTTTCAGGTAAAAAATGGGTGAATCTTAAGTTTCAGTGTCAAATACGAGTTTTCGTGTCAATTTTGGGTAAATTTCGGGTTGTTGGGTCAACCCAAATCTGACCTGGTTTTTAAAATGAGTTGATTTGTTGAATCCGTACCCGACCTGTTTCGGGTTCGGGTTGACCCTAAACTGGATTTTTCCAGATCGGGTTCAAGTCGTGTTTCGGGTCGTGTCAAAAATTGACACCCCTAGTTGTATAGTTCAGACATTTGCAGACATATTGGTCAACATTAGAGGAGGGAAAAGGGGGATTATTTTTGAAATATTTGAATCAATTAAGGCAAATTCATACAAACGTCAGATATGTAAGCTACGAACTCATGATCTTTTGATTGATAGTCAAAACTCTCAACCAACAGATTAAGAGACGAGCTACATGGAGAAAAGGAATTAGGACGATTACATTTTCTTTAAAAAGATAAGTTTTTTTTTTTAAATAAATTTCATATTTATTAGAGCCTCAATAATTTCGAGAAGGATAAAGGTCAGTATAATCTTGAGAATTCTAATGCTTTTTTTGATAAAGTTAATTAGAAAATTGATATTAAAAAAGTAACTTAACTATTCTTATTGCAAAAAAAAAACATCTTTCCATCATATTAAGTTATAAAACATAGTGAAGAAATAGCAAAAAAATTAATAGCTTGACGAAATCAGATCCTTAATGAGAAAACTATAGCATTGTGATTGGACAAATGTAACTATGAGTGTCTCAACAATACAGTCAATAGTGACCTCTGACAGGTGGCTAATACATATTACTTGGTCATATAGGTTTTTTATAAACAAATATTTTTATAATTACTTTTTAATAATTATGAATAGTTTGACTTAGACTTCGTTTGGGACGGCTTTTTTTATTACTTTTTAAAACGGAGTTTTAGTACAAAAATAAAAAAAATTGTACTAAAACTCCGTTTTAGAAAGCAATAAAAAAACCGTCCCAAACGGAGCCTTAGTCACTCTTTTTCGATACTCCCTCCAACTCTACTGTGGATTGGGGCTTGAGATTAAAGAGAGTTTAGAGCTTAAATAATTCATTATACCATTGCCTAATCACTGCAGTTGGATCACTACCTCACAATTGTTGTCGAACCACTATCTAATTATCAACAAAATATTGCTGCAGACGTCATCAGATTATTGCATAATTATGATCTTCTGATCACCATTGTTTGTTGATTATGGATCGGACTTTAAACAATCATTGACCAACTATAATCATCTAACCATCGTCACTAGAATGCGGTCTCTTAATCATCATCGCTTGAATACAATCATCCAATCACCATCATCTGAATATGATCATTCAACCACCATCACCCACTACGATCAACTTAGGGTTTCTAAATTTTACATAATAAATTTAAGTTTTAAATTATTATATCAATTTAACAATCAGTGTAAAAATGAATGATCATATTTTAATGCTAAAGTGAATCAGGCAATTTAATTATACTAGAACAAGTTCAACAATATAACGTTCCGACTGCCTGTTTATCTCAATCCTTTCTAGCTTTAGATAAAATGATTTAATAGTAAATCAACTTAGTCAACAAACTAGTTCATGGTTGAACCGATTGAGCTCGCCTTTTTATCTTATTTTCTAATCTTTAATGGCTAAGGTAATGTCACAATCCAATCCGATATGACCCATTAAACAGATGCATCATATCATGTAGAAATGGGGCATGCCAGCCCGAGATCAAAGTTTTGGAGCTACTCAAATATTTTATATTAATTTACTCATAGATCATAGAACATTTAATTAACTTCAATAAACTGAATATAGCAAAACTCATCCACAATTTTGTCTTTCTTTTATTAAAATATGTATACAATTTTTTCTCTACAATACATGGTTACGTAGACTAATCAAAACTAAGAAGTAAAATAAATAGTCATTGCTGTACAAAATCAATAAAATAATTATGTAGACTCAGATAGATCAGATCCTGAACTTAAAAGGAGTTTATAAGAATTTTATCATGTTGAGCTTGATGTTAATTATAAATAATTGCTAAATTAGAGCAAACTATAACTAAAGTAAAACATGTTCTGCACTGAAAACCAATAAACAAGCACTTCATATATTAGAATAAAAAAATAATAAATTTATGTTAGGCCCTTATACCTTCTATCAGAAACGAACCCTTATAAATCTTTGTACTAGCATATCAAAAAGCAGACTCTTATGACTCCCAATGCTCAGCATATGGGTGTCAATATTTGCACGTACGACTCGAAAACTCAAATAAAAAATTTTATGTTAGGGTCAACCCGTTACACAAATGGGTCGGGTTCGAGTTCCCAGATGATACCTGTTTGAAAAAATGGGTCGGGTTCGGGTTGACCTAGAAACTGACCTTAACTCAACCCTGGTTAATTCAGGAAAATCACACGTGAGTGGTGAGTCACGTTCGCGTTGACACTGCCCGTCCATCCGCGCTGCCGACATCTCGTCACGCCTTCTACCATTTTTCATTTGCAGTTGGATCGAAAGTAACGACGACGATGGGCCGACCTCGCTGTTCATCTGCAATTGGATCGGAAACAACGATGTCGACGGGTCGACAACAGGGAACTAACTGTTTTGCTTTTGTAGTTGGATCAGAAGCAACGATGATGATAGGAGGGAGCTCACCGGTTGTTCTGTAGTTGGATTCGAAGTAATGACGACGACGACATGAGGGAGCTCGTCATCCGTCTGCTCATGGCTCAACACCTCAACTGCTCAAAATGGGTCCACAGTTGAGTCGGGTCAACCACTATAGAAAAATCATCTATTACCGACAGTTTTTTAACAATAAATCAAATTATTTTTTAAAAAATAATGTGAGATAAGCATCTCCCTAAAGCATTTCATATATCCAATCATAAATATATAGAAGCCTTTATTTGTCTGCAATTAGCTACCTTCTCTGGCAAAACTATTGAATTATCGAAGTATTATTTACTTTTCCTATGATGAAGCTGGAATAACTAACGAAAACACATTAATTCTCAACAAAATATCTATCGTAAAATGAAAATTTTGATAGATATTTAGGATCTATTTGGGATGATTATAATATTTTATAAAGTTGATTTGTGAAGTTATTATGAGAAAAATAACTTAGCTATTCTTATTACGGAAAAGTAGCTTTTCATCATAGAAAATTTTGAAATTAGTCAGAAAACATTAAGAAAATAATAACCAAATAAAATTATGATTATTGACTTAAAAATGAAAAGCAGTTAGAAAGATGCTATATAGTAGTATAAAGCATCTCATTTTGATCTATTAGTTGTGAGTTTTGACTATCAATATAGGATGAAGTCTTGATTTTACTTTTAAGTTTTAAGTGGAGTGTTATTGTTGAAACCTGAGCCTAGATTTAGGAAGCAGGGAAGAAGACGGATAAAGAAAAGAAGAATTGTATTACTCAATGTATTGTTATAGATATCAGGTGACTATATATAGAATGCTAGGACAACTAATGCAAGAAAGGAAAGCTGACGTGTCCAATTCTTTAAACCGAGTAATCCGGTTCTTTGCTTTAACAGCTCCCCTCAAATTAACCATTTTGTAAACAAATGGTTAGTTTGGATCGAAGAAGCTAAAAGCGATTTACAGGTAGAGATTTTGTCAGAATATCTGCAATTTGATCGGTAGTGCAAATGTGATGAATCTGAATGTTGCCATTCCGGATGTGATCACTGATGAAGTGATAGTCGATCTCAATGTGTTTCGTCCTTGCGTGAAACACTGGGTTATTGGCGAGCGCGATCGTAGAGGTGTTGTCGCAGTGTATCACCGTGGGAGATGTTTGCTTGATTCCTAGGTCTTCGGCGAGGCGGCGGATCCAGAGAATATTCGAAGTTGCCGATGACAGTGAGCGATATTCTGCCTCTGTGGATGATCTCGCAACTGTAGTTTGCTTCTTTACCGACCATGAGATCAAATTCTGACCGAGAAACGTACAGAATCCTGACATGGATTTCCTGTCTTCAGTGTTCGCGGCCCAGTCCGCATCTGTATAGGACCGGAGCTGCATTGAACCTGTCTTGATGGGCATGCCGTAGTTTAGAGAGCATTTTATGTAACGGAGAAGGCGCTTGAGAGCTTGGAAGTCTCCATTGCTCGGTTGATGCATATGTTGACAAACTGATTTGGTGGCGAACGCGATGTTCGGTCGTGTGATAGTGAGGTATTGTAATGAGCCGACCAATTTGCGGAAGAGAGTTGGATCTGCGAAGGGTTGATTGTCGGGTGCAGACGGCTTGCGAGATGGAGCGGGAGTGGCCACGGGTTTGCACTCCTTAAATCCCGCATTAAGAAGCAGCTCTTGTGCTTAATGTGATTGCCATAGAAAGTAGCCATAGGTAGTTTTAATAACCTGAATTCCATAAAAAGATATATATCTCCCAGTTGTTTG